AGGAACATTTGGATGGGAGAACAATAGCGATTTCCATTCCTTATTTTTTTATATTTATTTTTTAGAAATAAATAAAAATACTAAATTTAGTTTAAAGTGCGTTTTTGTAACCAGTAAGAAGTAAATTTCCTTGCAGAAGTAAGTAATTCTAAACTTACATTTTTCCTACCAAGGTGTTTTCCTTTTTTATTTGTCTATACTTGCCTTTGATGAATATTAAAATTAGCTCCGATTTTAAAATGTAATTATTAAATAATAAATTTAAAATGTTCTATAATGAAATACATCATTGCATTTACATCTCGCTAACATAAGAACTTGAAAATAATTTACTTATTACTTACCTGTATGCCTTTGTAAAATAAGGGCTGATTGGGACTGTTGGCCCGTCTTCTCTAGACACGAACATGGTGGTCATCTGCTCAAGAGCGAAGCGGGATTCATCGCTGAACACTATACGATGCCAGTTTGAGGGCAGCCATGATGATCGGCTGCGATACCACTCCAGACGACTCCGCCAGTGTACTATTAGTGTGTAGTATGTTAGTGTGACGCATTTATACGCACTGATGTATTGTGTCTATCTTTTAATGTATAGTATATTAGTGTGAAGCATTTATGTATATTGACGCATCGTGTCATTGGTGTATTTTGTTTATAAATATATTCTAGCATCATGTTGTCGTGTTTCAAGATCTAAGTACATACAGAGCAACACCTGTAGTAAATTGAGTATTATTAATATTCACACAAAAGTGCATTTTAAAATATAGCGAAGTGAGTATTATTAATATTCACACAAAAGTGCATTTTAAAATATAGCGAATTTACGCAGTATCTATGTGTATCAATACTTAAGTTTTTTATATAACGTAATTTAGCGTACGTTTCTACCTATCTCAGTGTATTATATCCACGTGTATGTTACAATAAGTATAATAGAATAATTGTGTTACTTATTTACGTGTATTTTTGTGTATATGGTACTTATGTATTAGTGTCAATGTATATTAGTGTAGAGTATATTAGTGTTTCGCATTTATGCACATTGGAGTATTGTGTCTATCTTTTAGTGTTGAGTATATTAGTGAATTATTGTATACCATACTAGTGTATGGTATATTAGTGTATAGTACATTAGTGTGTCGCATTTATGTGCATTGGTGTATTGTGTCCATCTTTTAGTGTACAGTATCTTAGTGCATAACATTATGTACATTGCCGTATCGTGTCATTGGTGTCTATAAGTACTCTAGCATCATGTTGTCATGTTTCAAGATCTAAGTACATACAGAGTATCACCTGTAGTAGTATAGTGTATTATTAATATTCATAAAAAGTGCATTTTAAAATATATCGAATTTACGCAGCATCTATGTGTACCAATACTTAATTTTATAGATATAGTAATATAGTGTGTCTACGTATCTTTGTGTAAGTGTCTACATATATCCAGTGTATCGTATTCATGTGCAAGTTATTGTAAAATAATAGAATAATTTTATCAATGTGTTTTTATGTGCCTATCGTACCCACGTATTACTGTCAACGTATATTAGTCTCTAGTATATTAGTGTGTTACATTTTGTAGTGTCTTGTAGTATTAGTGTGTCGCATTTTGTAGTATTATTGTGTCGCATTATAGATAGTTTCAGGGTCCAGACAGCATCCGAGTAGTCATTGTAAGCCGTTCGGGTGTCTGGCCCTGCTGTCACCTGTACTACGAGAGGTATATTTATGTCTATTTGTAAAAGTTTCAGCAATAGATAGTTGCAGGGTCCAGACAGCACCCGAGTAGTCATTGTAAGCCGACCAGGGGTCCGGCCCTGCTGTCACTTGTCCCTGTACTGCGGGAGGTATAGATGTGGCTGTAATGCGTTGAATAGTCAACAATGATACCGTTGGGGCGGTTCGAGCCTGGTGAACATTCATCCTATATTTTTTACTTGTTACGTGCTCCGCCCTTAGGCACTACACGGATAGGGAGGGATGCCCCGTGGAGGTCTTTTTAAGGGAAACTGGCTCGTATCCACGTTACACATGGGGAAAACCACGAACTGTAAGTGGTTAACCATACACTGCAGGTGGCGGCCTATTGCTTGGTATGACAACCCAGCTTCAATCAACCCTACAATGCGACCACATTTTCGAAGTCGTTTAGTTGTCTGTAAGGTGTCCGATATCGTCGTAATGGCATCTTTAGTTGCTTTTTTACGGAATTACAATGGCAGCAACAAAAAAAGATAAATTTTCCGCTTCTGTTACTGGTTTTATACTTTGCCACGTATACACGTTACACACGGGGAAAACCACGAAAACACCCATGCAGCCAGCCCGTTCGCGGGATTCGAACCTCGGACCGAACTACCAGCGTTCAGCGACTTTACTGCTCGGCCGCTGGTGGGCCCATAAATAAATAACTATAGAGGTTACTTTAAGTTCATAACAATTATTTTAAGTTTAAACATGCTTTACTCTCTGTTCTTGTTTCCCATCTACTATTCCCTACCAGAGTGAGTTTTTAGCATTGCGTTTCATGCAAATGAGTTAGAAGGAGTATTTAAGGAAGGTTCAGCTTACTTCTAAAGATAGAGATCAGAAGTCCTTAGAGGCGCGCTTATTTTCTTATCTTGAGTTAAAAGTCCGAGTGGAGGCTTTTCTGTAAGCCCGAAAAGGGGCCATCTGTTATTAATTTTTTGAGTGAATGAAAGGGTATTTTAACCCTTCCGGGGACTTGATTATTATACACATGGACTCAGCGATAAGTCGCTCGGCAGTTCATTACGTTCCTTTACGCTCAACATAGACAAAGTACCAAGGAACATTACATAACACGCATTGCTTTTATTGATCATATAGTGATTTCAAAGCATGAGGTAAAAAAGTTCTAATGTAGCTAAGTAATGCATATCCTCTTTATCAATTACTTCTATCCTTATGAGAACAGTTTGTAAGGTAAACTTTTGTTTATAAAGTAAGCATTGAAGAGGGATTGTAATAAACATTATTTCAGGTCTATAAGAAAATTGTTGGTTTAATCATTAAATTTTAAAAATCTTAAAGAGGCAATGCAATTTCTAATACTGTAACATGAGATGGGCATCAGCTGCAATCGAATGTTGTTTGTTTATGAAAGAATAACATTATGAATTTAAACACTGGTTATTAGTGGTGTAATTTTCTTAGTTAAGCAACTGTTATTATTTGTCTATTCTTGCAAGTGATCAAGCTATAACTTTTTATGTAAAAGCAGTTTAATATCGAAATTCCGAAACAGGGGGGAAACAAACCATGCACCAGCAGTCGCGTGGTTGTGTTGCTGAATGCTGGAATGCTGGTAGGTCGACCTGGGTTCAAATCCAGGCGAACGGGCTGACTGCGTACGCGTTTTCGTTGTTTTTCCCATGGATTCGCCCCAGTTTTCCTTACAAAGCTCTCCACGAAGGCCACTTCCCCTTAGGGTGGCAGCCTTTGAGTGCTTCGCCATGATTAAATAAAAGGAAACTAGAGGCAAACTGTGAATTATTTAATTACCTCTAAAGAAGAGTATAATATTTCTTACGTCTATTACACCTTGCGGGGGGAAAAAAAGAAAAAAAAGACTCTATATCTCCCGTTCTACCGGGCCGATTGAGGAAACTTAATATGCGTTTTCATGTCAGGAAAGCGCGACTTAGGATATATATTAGTTTTATATATAGCAATTGTTCTAACTAGGTATTTTGACACAAAATGGAACTTCTAAAATGACATATCTATTTTTTATATATTTCTATTCTACGACTCAGATTATGCCAAAGTGCCAATTTTTGTAAAAAATCGCACGAGTACTTTTTTAAGAATAAGCGGTCAATATTTTGTCTCCTCATTGTAAATCGAATTTCGTATATTAATCTCTCTTTTTTTTATTAAACTTACTCGATTCCTTCTTTCACAATTCAAAATTTAGGTCCGATCCAAATAAAATTCGCAGCTATTTTCTGATTTGTTTTTAAAATTTGTATTTTTTAGGAACTTTTATGAATTTTTCGAAAATTTTTTGAATTATAACCTATAGCATTTTTGCCATCTTCTTAAAGTAGATGCATTTTAAGGCACACCTGCAAAAAATTAGAACGCTTTATTCAAAATTTCCCAAGGTATATGTGAATTTATATAATGGGGGTTTTGAAATTTGGCATATTTGTTATAAGTGATAATAACGCCAGATATGATTTGCGCACTTTGTTAAAATTATTTGAAAAATTAATGATGCACCTTTTATTTCGCGCGTTGACAATAAAAAGAAAAAGAAATTGGTTGCCATAAATTAAGAAATTCGCCAAGTGAATTATTCTTGGCGCAAACTGAAAAAAGTGCTCCAAGATAAATTTTTGAATTTCTTGATAACCAAATTTTACAAAATTTAATATTTAGGCATAATTTGAGACGTAAAATCGAAATATGTAAAACAAAGATAGTTATGTCTTTTCAGAAAATGTTCGATTTTGTGATAAAATTGCCTATGTTAGAATAATTGCTGTACACGAATCTAATATCCTAATTCGCGCTTTCGAGACATAAAATTGCAAGTTAAATTTCTTCAACCGGCCTAGTAGAACGGGAGATATAGAACTGTTCCTTTTTTGTGCTAGGTGTTCTTTATATATAATATAATGTCATATGTCCATGAATGTCTTACGTTTTTCTTATCTGCAACATGTATCGTTGATCAACTGCAAAAATGTGTGAAACTACTTCTTGTTTTCTGTTCACTGTGCCATTTTTAAATACAAAAGCATCTTATTTTATTTATTTTATTTGATATTTATTTATTTTATTTTTAAATTTGTATAGTACTATATAAATCTGAATTTGTTTGTTCAAATGAATTGTGGGGTTCCAACCTTTTCTCTTACAGCTAAGTGACTAAAAACCTTGTGAACTGGTAAGCGAATAATCAATTTAGTTCAGGAACAGAAACGTAAACTCAAGAGGGTTAACTACCCTTTATTTTTCAAAATAAGAATTGTACAGTCGGCTCCTTTCTTAGAGCGTACAGGAAACCTCCACTTGGGCTTGAACTCAAGAGTACTAAGAAATAAAACTTAACTGGTGCTTAGCTAAAAAGATATAGCCGAAGCTATCAAAATTCTAAGGAGCTGGTCCCTAAATGTTAACTAACTGGCGAAGCTATCAAGGGCCTGAAATACGGCCGAGCGTAGTAATAGCTTAGAGAGAGTGTAGCCAAATGGCAAACGCTGTCAGAATCTCTGTCTCTTTAACAAAGTCAGTGGAACTTCAAATTAAATACCGCTCTTCCTCATTTGCATTAACTGCGATTCTAAAAAAACACCCTGGTAGGAAATGGTAAGCTGAAATTAGGAGAGATAGGAAAGTAGCTTTAACTAAAAATAACTGTTCAAAACTTAGGATAAACCTTACAGAATAATAGGTTAAATGTTTGGGATAACACCTGACTGACATTCTTCTGTAGTTTGAGGATCAACCTGTTCAGCCGCATCTTTAGAAACACACTAATACTTCTTTTTTTAAGTGCAGCAATGTAAAAGGATGTATGCTAAAGAAATGCAAAAGAGGTTTTTCTATAATTTTTTATTGCTTGTGCAACTCAAATTACTTAAAAAAAGCACATGTGTAATAAATATATCCATTGAGTAACAGATAAAATGTCAAATTAAATAAATGATGAAATAGCTACAGAAGTCAAACTATAGTGTACCATACACACACACAAAAGGAAAACAAAACAAAAGTATATCTTGATTTTTAAACAATGAAAGTTGAATGAATGAAATAAAATTAAATACCTCATTTGTGATTAAACCAGAATGAAACTGATGTGTGTAAGCACAGTGGGATGACCTTTCTCCAAAAGTTAGAAAGCATGTTTATAACCTGAAATTGTCATCACTGTCACTATTAAATACCAATCATATATTTTCGAAAACACTGTAATAAATGTATCCATCTTAGCTTTTATGCTTCTAGCAGTGAGATAACTGTATAAAATTTGGCATGAAATTTTAATGCTAAAAATGCCTTCATGCTTTTTCGCCCCCATAGCAATTTTATTAAAAAATTTCTATATATGTTTTCCCAACTTATTTTCAGGACCATAAATTTCCTTTCCGATTACGATTCTCTGCCAGAATACAAATTTAAATGACGTATATTCAAATATCAATAAGTTCGGAAATAGTATTTAAGTAGCAGAATTGAAGAGTTCGCGGCAGAAGAGTTAGTTACAAGTTTGTGCCGCGTGTTTGCAGTCTATTGCTGAATATTTTGTGCTAGCCGCTTACTTTAAATTATATTAATATTCTAGAGTCGGCTTTGCTGTGTGCAGCCGATAAAGGGTATTTAGATTGAAGTAGGGGTCAGCCGTATAGTTAAAATTTAATTCATTCTGATTATATATACTATTTTGTGTTAAGTTACCTAGCCACAAGTGGTGGTTAAATTGTGAGTATGTTCTGTTCAGTTAACTAAAATAAAAAGGTTATTATAACATTTGTCGCCAGTCATCCGTTTTTTTTTTTTTTTTTTTTTCCCCTAGACATAGCGAGAATTCGCTATTTCGTTTTCAGGAGGGTCTACATTTTATGCTTCCTAAACAAGTAAGACTCTAAGTATGTCTGATGAAAAGAAGCCAGAAGGAAACGATTCACTATTAAATATAACTAAAGTTAGTTTTTCCTTAACACAGAAGGATTTATTGTCTAAATATTCTCTCTAATTTTGTAGAATTAAATATACATAAAATATGAGTGATAGAAATATGCAATATTTTAAACACATTTTATAAACACCAAAAATACATAAATTAAAATATCTGAGAGACATATGTTGTAAAACATTTATGTTATAATATCAGAGAGATCAATGTAGAAGAATTATTGTTTTTGAAGAACCTTAATATTAGCAAGATTAAGCTCTTAAACTCTTAATTAGTAGAGCAAAATGTCTGCATTACAAACGAAACAGAAATAAGAAATGTATTTTTTTACTTATGAAAGGAATATAGACTCTTGCTCTCTCTTTATACGTGTATTATTCAGTTATTGAATAGTAAATCCGTGATTAAAATGCTGCTTTACCCACATTTCAGTTCTTTTATGTATAAATTTTGCTTTACTTCATTTTGCCAATGATTATGAATGTCACGAAAAATAGTTAGCTTAATATATTGTAGTACTAACAATATATCTTTCTTTCAGTGTAACTTAGCTGAGCTTATTTTGTCTTGTAGGTTTACAATGCTTCAAAATGTTGGAAAGAACTTTCAGGATTAAAAACATAACTTTATTCATTGCCATGGCAAAAAAGAGAATAGGTTCTTTTATGTTTTGCAGTTCATGAATAAACTGACTAAGTAACTTCGGTTCCACAGAAAGGCTTGTTAAATGCCAGAATTAAGTGGTATATTTACGTTATCACTTCAAAATGCATGCACATATGAATATTTCTGAGCAGCAAATATGTTTTCAAGATTGCTTTCTCCGTTTAAAAATGATACTTTATGAGCTAATAAAATAATTGATACGTACGTAAAACAGCAGAGGCGTAGCTAGGGGTTTCAGCGCCCGGGGACAACTGAAGAATTTTCGCCCCTTTCTGTGTGCCAAGAATGGAAAACATTTCATTTTAAAATTTCGCAACATCAGTTTTGCGCCCCCTGGATGCTGCGCTCGGGGACAGATGTCCCCTCTTGCTCCACCCTAGCTACGCTACTGTAAAACAGTCATTTTGTAATTTTAGGAAAAAGACACTTATATGTGCACATTAAGAATAACTTGCTTATCATTAAATTTATACAAAAAGGGCAACATTTTGGGTATATCGTAACACAGCTTCTTGATACTTCTTAACTAATAAAAAGCATACAGCACAGCTTTTCATATTTCTTCAAACTGACAGTCTCCTGAAGAATTTATAAGAGCTAACTGTGGTTATATCTTTAGTATTAAAATTTATAAAGGAAAAAAACTTGTTTAAATATAGTATTTGGCAAACCATACCACTATTAAGTGCCTAAAATACATCTTTAAAAAATCATTACTTATAGTGAACCATGCATTCTGGGATGAATTGAAGGTTTCTGCTAATGAATAGGTTTCTGCTCGATTAAACCTTGCTCTTAAATAAATAATTTTCAAATTACAAGCGTCGACCTGCCATCTTTCCCATCGCTAAGGCCAAGCCGCTGATGTTATCAATAACGAAAAAAAGGAAAGGCTTGTCTTGGAGACTCATGTGAATAGTTTCCTGGCCACTGGGTGGAGCGGTTTGCTGATGATTCAAGTTATTTCCGTTCTTGATGTTCACATTGATTTTATGGATAAGATTGGTAATATGAAGCCATCGGAAATCGCTCATGCCGAGAAGTTCCGCAAAGCCAGGCGTGAAGAGGTCGACGAGGCCACTCCGAAATAGAGCTTGGGTTAGATTCTTTGGGCTGTCTTCGAAAGAGATGTGTGGCATCTGGAATAAAAAGACAAAAAGTTTGTAACAAAAGATAATTAATTAGGTGTCAGCATTTTGTATTGAATTACAATTGATTTAGAACACTGTATTGTATGATTTTTTTTTATTTCATTTTTGAATCTTTGGATTATTGTCTCGAGTTTTAAAAGCAATAAACAATCCTAGGATGCTTTCAAATTTTAAGTATTGTGAAAAAGATCGAAGTATATGTTGAACAGAAGATAAATCCAAGAATTCACCTGACAAGAAACAGATCCAATTTGTTTCAAAATTTGTCTTTCGTCACTTAGCATGTGTACTCAAAATAAGACGATTTTCATTGCTTTTTACTCACAGTACCTTAGTTATGTTCTATACAACAGTCCACAAAGCAGGAATGTTATGTAATTTAACAAAAACATTTTTAATGTTCGAAAGTCAGTAAGCCTACCCAGGAAATATTTTCAGGAACTGCTCTACTGAAATCATAGCTGCTAAAGAAACTTTTGCTCTTACGTATCTGATAGTATGAGATATTTAAAATTTCGTATTAAATATGTTGAGATGAAAGTGTGTTGTAGATACCATGGACAGCTATTCAAATGTTTTGTAGTAGTTTGCTATCTCTCCACACTCGAAACAATTTTCTTATACATCGCCGCTTAATAAACTATATTTGATTATCAAGACTGGAAAACCTTATCACATATGTAGAAGAAGAAAGGGTTAACTCCTGTCATAACTATTTGGTATCAAAGATAGATTCTATTCTACTGTAATGATCTTCATAGTTTCGATTCTGTTCTAATGAAAGTGCTCGGAAAAATTTTTTATTTCACTTGCTTTTAAAATTCTTTGGATTATATGCTATTTGTTTAAGGTAAAATTTTGATTTGAATTCTTCATTGAAATATTTTATTATTTTACTTACGTTTTCATTCTCTAACTAGAAATTTCTGTATTTAAGGTACAAGATTCTAATTAGAATTTACTTTGTTTCTTCTCTTGCTTTGGGGAGGGGGGCCAGAATTTTCGGGTGAACTATTATAATTAAAATGCATTGAAATGGCTCATCGGCTAATTCTGGATACAGAAAAGCAAGGATTTTTGTGGAAGAGAGATTTCAATTGATTTCAGTGTTCCTGCTCCTGACGAAGTGGCATTGAAGTTGATTGAATTCCTCTTCTATTTGTCCGTTTTTCTTTAAATTTCTTTAATTTTTGAATTGGAGTATTGCTTGTTTGAAAAGTTTTGGTTTTAACATTTTTAAAATTCTTTATTGCATTTATAGGATTATTTGAAATTTAATAATTACGAATTTCAATTTTGGGTCTTTGGGAAAAATTAGTTCTAAATTTCTTACTTTATGTCTTTACTATATATACATTTTTTTTAAAACAAAGGTAAATATTGGAGTTTAAATGCAAGTTTACATTTTCTTTCCTATGAAGGTCCTAACCATTTTGTATCTCGAAGAAAGTCGTAACCAAAGGTAGTACAAGTAAAAATTACAATATTAAAAGCATTGCGTAATAAAATAAGGAAATAAAAAGAAATATTGATCTCCTCATTTCAACGATTCAAACAGAACTTATCAAGGGAAAAGTATTTTGAAGCCCAAAACCAAGTTGATCAATGAGTTCCGAATACAAATTTCGTTCCTCTGAGACATTTGAAAGTCAGGACCGTAAATTATGAAATAAATTTTCAATTTAAAATAGCTTTCAGTGGCTCTCAAATGCTCAGACAGTTTCCCGACTTGAATTTTAACCCTTTAGACAGCAAAATTGCAGTATTTAAGAAGATACACAAAAAAATACAGATTTTGATTCAAAACACAAAAAAGATTCAAATAAAAATCGAAAGAAAAAGTAGACAGTAACCTGAAAAACAAAAAGCGTAAAATGCCTAAAAGGCCAACGAACTAATTACAATCATATATAGTTAGGGTAATCCTTGAATAAAACAATCAACAAAATAAAGTGGTCAGTATTTAAAACCTAAAAAAGTGGCGGCTCGAATGCGTGTTAAATTAGCTTTAGTCTGAATCAGAAACTTTGAAACTAAAAGGTGCTGAGATTTCTCTAATTAATTTCAAAAGCTGATAAAGATCCAAAGGAAATTACCTAGAGTTACAAAAAAAATTTAAGAAAGCCCAAAGTAAAACCTCCCAATACTTAACGAAATCAAATTCAGAAGTTTGCTTATAATAAACGAAGAATATTGTGAAAATTACTCAGAAAATTTTCAAAAATTCTTGAAAAATGGCGAGAACAAATGCAGTTTCTTTAAGATGGAAGATTAAAAAAAGCTGAAAAAATTCTTTTAAAAGAAAAAGATCGAGTTCTATTTGCCCTGAACAAGTAAATTTGCAACTAAAGGCTAAAGAAAATTGAAAAACGTTGAAGAAAATGAAAAAAGGAAACGTGCAATTATACCCTTATCGTCTTCAAACCACTAGAAAAAGAATGTAAGAAAAAATGCCGGCCTAATAGGTAGCAAACTATCGTAAATATCCTCAAGCGGCAAAGTGGTGAAAAGATTCTCGAAATCGTGGCAATTAATATTCTCAATTTTAAGTGCATCAATAATCGGCTCGTGGTTCTTAATAATCCAGTTCTAATTATGTTCTTAAAACTTAAAATTATTGAGAATGTGTAAAACTTGTTTACGTTTTTCAGCAAAAAGTAGGTCAATTGCTTTTAAAAAATTCTTATTTCCATTGGCAATAAATCTGAACTTGATCGGTGTCTTATGAAATTTTTTAAGTGCATTTTTTATTAAAGATTTGCAAATCTATGCTTTAAACCTCTTATGGAGAGCTTAAGCGTTGGTATTAATTTTCTGATAAGTGGTGGTATACATATACATATATATATATATACTGAAACCTCCATTTGCTTTTAAAAACTGTATTGCATTTTTATAAATCTGCATAATTGCAATGATTATTTTCAAACATGTTACTTTTATACAGGTTTGTTACTTCGACAGGTGGTGACAGGTGAAAGCAGGTCTGGACCTCCGGATGGCTTACATAGACTATTCGGGTATCGTCCGGAGTCCACAATTGTCTAGGATAAGCAGATACTGATGCTACGAGAATCGGGAGTTTATTTAGAGATGTTCAAAAGCCTGTAATGGCAAAGAAAGTCTAGATCAGCGATTACAAACCTCTGGTACGCGTGCCGCTATGTGGCACACAACAGGTATATTGGTGGCACGCCACATGTGCATATTAAATTACTTTTATAAGTTAAATAAATTTTACTCCACTGTTAAAGCTTATGTCGCTTAATCATTAGTATATTACTCATTATACGAACAACTGAATTTCATGTTGGGCAGACTTTTCTGTTGAGCGGAATGACAGAAATGTATCCGGAAAAAATAAAAAAAATTAAATTAAATAAATTGTAAAATATCACAAAGCTTTGCCGTGCTTGTTGTGACATCACAGCTGGGCGGGCAGTGACCTCTATGCAGAATTACAAAGCACTCGGGAGTATATCTGTAATAACCGCACACTTTATGCCAAAATAAAATAAAAAAAAAAAACAGAGTAAACAAAGGACTCTGGGATCAGGAAAGTTCCAATTTTTCTTGCACTTTTGTGTGAGTGTTGGCCAAGTAATGTTTTGTTCAATTAACGCCTGTATTTTACTCCGTAACATATACTGAGAACATCTCGAGAAAGAGATACTTAAACACTTACAATGGAATTTCATCAAGCGGCATGTCGCATGACATTTTGAAATCAATGCGTTTTTTGCGAACTTAATATAGATTATAAATTCTTTGCTGGTATTTTGCACTATTAAAGTAAATCCAACAGTCTCATTAATAATACATAATAAACTTTAGTGTCTTTTGTTAACGGTAATGAAATGAATTCTTCAGACATCTATGAATTTGGCTCGCAGTAGTGGTTAAAAGTAGACATTTGCAAGATTTAAATATTATAAAAGACTAATAAACATGTAGAGTTATTAGGTTATTTGGAAGCAAGACACTTGAAAAATCAGCAACGCCTTCGCCGGGAATTGAACCACGGACCTCTGGAATACACTCCCAGCGTGCAGACCACTACACCACGAAGGCACCCTAAGAAGGCAGAAGAAATACCTTATAAACAAACCAAACAACTCGTATTTTGTCAGTGCGTAAATTAATTGCTGACAGAATTAATCCGTTACTATCATAAATGACGCTCTAAATTATCCTTTGTTTAAAAATAGGAATTGCGATTTGGTGTCACATTGAATATATGTTAGTTCAAGATCCAGTTAAACGGCGGATTGCTTCAAATTGAGTTTTGAGTAATGGTTCAGTCAGTCGCACGTAAAAAGTGACCACGTAGAAAAGAACGAGAGAGCTGCCTGAACTTTTCTTGAGCTCATTCCCCCCTCCTTTCTTTCTTTTTTTTTTTTTTTCCCTTGTCTTTCTTTTTTTTTCTTTTTTAAGTTTTACGAGTATAAAAGCTGCTTTAATTCTATAAAAAATTAGAATAATAACTGTAGCCTAAGTTTTAATTTAATAACCGTATGAAACGCATTTAAATCTCTAAGTATGCAAAGAGAAGATAAATTATGTTTTTTAGTTGTGTAGAATCATTAGGTTGTATCGGTGCGGGAACGTGAAAAATGTGCGATGGCTTCGATCTCTGGACCTCCCGATTATATGTGGAACGTGCTTCCAGCTATACCAACAAAGCGTATGGAAAGGTGGGAGAAAATACCGTATATACTTCCCCTTTTAATGAGCGAATTGAGGATGAGGGTATCCAGTCGCTAAATGTTGGTGGTGGGGAATTATCGTCCACCAACTTTTAATTTGGGCGCCACTTGTAGAATCGTTTAGAATTCTTTCGATGTTTGAAAACTGAAGAAATCCCCTTTGCCTTCGTCGGGATTCGAACTCCGGACACTCATCGAACGGGCTTACAGTTACACCTTGAAGGAATGTTGAAAGGAGGGAGAAAATGCCTTATGTAGGATTAAATGTTCTAAGTACACACGTAATGGACGTTTACGAGAGGGGCACTTCTGAAACAGTTAATTGAGAGTACCTGAAATACATCGAATAATCAATTAACAACACCTATCTTCTTAACCTTTAATCTAATTTTTACTAGTTGATCTTATTGTTTGTCTACGTTTTATTTAAAATTCTTTGATTTTACGAAACTTAGTGCTGTAATTTCAGCCTGGATTTTTGAATTACGAATTTAATATTACTCAGAAATTAAAAGAAGCGGATTTATGTATATTACAAGTCTTGTTCACTCTTTTACGTAAAAAATTGCATATACGTGCTCTTAATTCCTTCTTTTAAAAACTTTAGTACGCAGTTTTGAGGAGATTTGTATTCTTTAATCTTTACACAGATTTATCAAACTGAGTTCCAGACAATGGTGTAGCTATGGTGGGTCAAGAGGGAACATCTATCCCCAGGCGCAGCATCCAGAGGGTTCTAAATTGATAATACAAAATTTCGAAAGAAAGGTTTTCCATTCTTGGCGCACAGAAAGGGGCACAAAATCTCCATTTGTCCTTGGGCGCTGAAAATCCGAGCTACGGCTCTAGTTTCAGAAATATTGATATGAACACCTTACCTTGTATTTTATTACTCTGAATACCACATGTGGCCATAAATTACGTACTTTGTCTCTATCATTTCAGAAAGTTTATGTATTTTCTGTTTTAATGTTTATGTAAAACTTTATTTTTGCATAAATATTAAAATAGATTTATGTAAAAATTTTAGTTCAGATCCAATATATATACTCAGCGTAATATTATAGTACACCATACTGTGTTGTAACAAGAAGAAAGAAATATCATATATTATAAAAAATGGCACTTACTTCCAATATAACATTTTTCGACTGCATGGTGCCTAAAATGTCGGTAATATGCTGGGCATTGAGCCGAGTCTCAAGCATATTCATACTACTAGTATCACTGGGAATCAAGAGCACTAGGGAAAGCAGGCCACTTCGAAAGGGTACTTCTACTCCAGTACATCCAAGGTAATCATAGGTACCATGTCGAAGACCTCCTTGTCTTGTCCTAGTAGGTGGCGTGATAAAATTGTGAGAGTTGTATGGAGTAGCTGCTGCATACGTCATTGCTTGAGAAAATGATGGAGCATAATATGACCCTGGTCCTCCTATAGGGGGTAATCTGCTATGCGTTGGCTGAAAAGCGTGATTGAGACTGAAAGGATGATTATTGTATCCTTGATTGAATTGATTATACTGGGAATTTCGATGCACGTCTTCTGCCGTTGGATTCGTAGTTGATCCGCTCATGTCTAATACACCATCAAACGACAAGGCATTGAGCAAAAGAACACTTGTGGTCTTTGGTAATGGTTGATCTAGAATGTTTTTAATATTTCCTTTTGTTTGCTTTTCGACTATGGCATTAATGTGGAGTCTGCTTTCCTCTCCGTACATGCTAAAGTCGAGAGGATGCACAGATGTGTTATAGAAAGTATGCAAAAACTTCTGGTAATGGTAGAGAATGCTATATTCTCTTTGGACATAGATGCTATTGAAAAGCAATATTTCAAAATCTTGAACACCATATTCTTGCCTATAGCCACCATTACCATTGCCCAAATGATCTGGGATGTGATGGCCTGGTGTTACTTGTAAGTTGTCACGAAGGTGAATCAGTAAATCGTGAAAAGCAATATGGACATCTTCTTGTCGTACACCCCACAAGTATAAGGCTTGTTGAAGTGCATTAGCTGATCTTCCTTGAGCTCCTAAAAGGATCATGGCCAATGATGTACTGATGCAAAATGGACAAAAAGCCACAACCTCATTTTTTGGTACTTTGAGGGCTCTATACAAATCAATTCCAAACTGGTTCGTAGAGAATGCGAGTTTACGCATAGCAAAAGTAAGTGGCCTTATTTGAGCTTCAGACGCCAGGTAGCGAGACGATACTAAAACCCACGTCACGAGCCATACACTCAGCATTCGAAACATATTTCTCGTTGACATCTAAGAAAATGAAAAGTAACAGTAAGTTTATAGAATATGGGCAATTAATTTTGATTATGTAGAAAATAATCAGTAAAAAATATTTTAGTTGCTAAAAGCTACATTAATTAAAAGATTTTGATTTTCGGAATAATTTATCAGAATTTTCAATCTTATTTTTTTTCTACATAAAAATTTCTTACAAGGAATGTTTGACAACCTTGAATTCTCAATAATTTTTTTAAATATATATTTATAGAAATCTCTATGAAAAGTTTTTCGTTTTCTTGGTATTAAAAATTTAGTTTAGCATAATCGGGGACCACCCGAGTTTTCAGTATTGTTTAAATTGACAATTCGATTTAATGTATATTAGTTTTGCTCTTTATTTACAATTGCTTTTGAATTTATGATTTGCATATAATGGTTTTAGACCAATTTGCTTTTTGAACGGCCAGTTTGCATAAAGTTAAGTTTTACTTTTTTTATTGAGTAGTCAGTTTGGCACAATCTTATGTTTTATTCTTTTTTCCAAGCTTTTCGAAAGCGTGTAGGGAACATTCTGGTACATTTGAGATTCGAGTTACGGTTTTATAAGAATTTTAATGTCTTGATTGAACATTTAATTGAATCTTTTTCGGTTTTTAAGCTTAAATGAACCAGGAGAAGGAAACATGTTTTCGTAACGTATTAATCAACTTTTCTGAAGCTTTAATTCATTTTCTCCTGATGAGTTCTGAATTGGAGTTTCAGTAAAGGGAGCTTAATTTTTATAATTTTGTGTATTTTCCGTTTTGCATTTTTATTTTTATAGTTCTACCATGATTTCTTATTTTAATTTTGATTTGTTTAGATGTTGTGTTAAACATCTTATACACAGTTGCAATTATTAATATTGTTGAGAAATTGCCTTGCTTTGATTCCCATTTTAATATTAACTTTAGATGCTTTAAGTTTGCTTATATTATAAACTTAAAGCTTCTAAAGTTAAAAGTAAATTGAAGTCAAAACAAGGCAATTCTCAGCTATATTAATAATTGCAACCGTGTATAAGAGGTTTAACACAATATCGAAACAAATCGAAATTAAAATAAGAATTCATAGCTTTGATTTGTTTTTAATATTGTGTTAAACCTCTTATACACTGTTGCAATTATTAATACTGTTGAGAATTGCCTTGCTTTGACTCCAATTTACTTTTAACTTTTAGATGCTTTAAATTCCTTTTACTTCAATCCTGCAGCTTAGCGTAGAAAGGATATAAAAATTTTGTTTTTAATTTTTATCCTCTTATTATGTTTCTATATGTATATGAAATGTAGAATCTCATACACTATTTGTGTTGTGCAGCCGGGGCAACAGGAATGAGACAAATTTTGGAATATAAAGTGATACGTCTATTTTAGCATCCATCTCACAAGCGTCCCTCCTGTACCTCGAGGGAGAAGCCCTATTTATAGATATGTGTGCGTCATGGTGCTCATCCAATCAGCCGTATTGAAATCAGGAAGTGACGCTATCTTCTCATCAGGAGTGTTCTTAAGGTGTGGTGATGGTGTATTTAATTATGGCAAAGCACACTAGGGCTATCTGCCTCAGGGGAGGGATGCCTTCGTGGAGGACTTTCTAAGGGAAACTGGCTCGTATACACGTTACACATGGGGAAAACCACGAAAACGTCCATGCAGCCAGCCCGTTCGCGGGATTCGAACCTCGAACCGAACTACCAGGGAGTGTTCTTAAGGACTTTATGTAATATGACAGATTTATGAGTTTGGCGATTTGGCGGGTTCCAACAGGTTAATATAATTTATAATAAAGAAAGGATTTCTCCAAAATTTAGGACAGGGAGGTAAGTTAGGTAGAGAATCGCCAATACGTTATTAAGCAATATGATTAGAATTTAATTTATTCAATTGATTTAAAAATATCATTACAAATTAAATATTTAAAATTTTGAAATTCTATAAAATCCACAAATAGTGCTGCTGCGAGTCTTTTTCAAGTCCTTTTTTCATTAAAAAATGCAAGAGAAAAAGAAAGATTTATATCATTAATAAATCATTAAAATTTTAAGTTTTTCCATTTTTAAAAATCTAAAATTATCACTTTTAATCAGATTCGGTAGGAATTGATGTATTACGCAATTTTTGCTTTTATAGAAGTTATATATTAGTAATACATAAGAATTTAAGAACTAAATTCATTTTTTTAACTGTAATATTTTTATGTTATATGAAATACATACCTACAAGAAAGCTTTTTTTTTTATTTGAAGGTAAATTTATTAATTTGAAATAAAATTAAATTGACTTAAACAAATATCTGACTTTGAATAAAGAAAGAACCAGCTAGCTTTCTTCTGTTTCAGGAACACATAAACTAGTTAAACTAGTTTTTTTTTATGTATAATAGAGAACATGTTTGGATAATACTTTCTGTAACACTGATTAAATATTTTAGCCTTGAGACTCACATGCATATAGTTACATTGAAAATTTTGGAAAGAGGGAGATGGAAAGATACGGAGTAAGGAAAGTGAGAGAGAGCGAAGCAGAAAAATAGATTTCCTGGGGAGGGGGGATATAATAATGAAATCATAATAAATTAGCTTATATAAATACTAATCATTGATTATAAATTAATTCGTAATTACAAATAAATAGGTATTCATACCATTAATAGATTTTATGCTTTCTGAAATCATATATATAAGTTGCCAAATATAGTATAAGCTTCGTACATTTACAAAATGTATGCAGAAGTATTAAAGCGATATCAAAAGGATAAGTAATTCTACAAAAAATCCAGTGTTGTATATTAATTACAATAGGTTATGAGAAATTAATTTCACATAATCAAACATTTCGAAAATAACTCAGTTGTCTTTAAAACAAAGGGATATTTTATTATGAGCTCTAGAATGTATCTAAAATTTTGACTTTCCTCTTTAGCGTGAAATTCCGAAGGTTACAAAATTTCTCACCCTTACATGTAGGTGTGTTAGAGTCATCAGTACAAGGAACAGCAATGTGTGACTTTACGGTCGGATGTAGTAAAGCGTGAGCATTTTTATTTATATTTTTTTCACCTGTTGTGAATTGTACTACTCTTTGCTGTTTGCGGAAGAGATGTCCCTAGGTCATTCACATCAAGCGAATGGCACGAAACAAACTTTTACGAACTATTCATTTATGAAACGACTCCAATAGAAATTACAAAGAGATAAGCGAAAAAATTAGTTCTGTAAAATTTAGTTCTGTAATTGTAAATTTTATTATTTTTCTCTCAGAAATCATCAAGGCTGATTAATAGAGTTATAATTAAACTCTACACTCACTTCTTTCAATTTCCCACGAATTTGATAGCAAGGTCTTTTAAATAAAATTTAGTAGCATAAAATACGACAATTTACTACATTGTAAACATTTGGCACTTTGTTTAAATTCTTCGCTTAAAATATTTCAAAAAAATATAATTTAGAATTTAAACAAAGTGGTAAATTTTATTCAAAGGCCTGGTTATAAAATTCGTAGGAAATTTAAACAAGCATATGCAGTATGCTAAATTCAAATATAAATAGTATTTATACTTGAGAAGTTAACGAACTTGATGTAAGAATTTCTATACTTTGTATTCGGCATATATAAATGTTTTTCGTTTTGGAATATAAACTACAGAATTTTTCTCAAAAGTACCCTACCTAAGAAACGCTAATCTGAGGCTAAGCTCAGCTTTAAAAAAACTCCTAAATACATTGCAACTGAGATTAAATTTTCACCAATTGTTATTTTTGCCAGGAAATTAACGAACACAATTCATTTGCTTAAAATATTTTTATTAAGTAAAATATTTTCTAAAGTAAAGCTTTAAATAAATTCGTATTTAAATCTCATAAACTGCTAGCATACCTTATATGTTTAGGCAATTCAAATGGAAGAGAAAAAGTGTGGGAAAAAAAGCAAATGATGCTTTCTTCAGTTTGAAGTAATAAAAGGCAGTGAGGTTTCGAGATAAATATCTTCAGAAATCTTCTAGTCCAAAGCATCGCTTATGAAGCTTTTTGAGTAAATAACGCTGGAATATAATCAAACTTAATAATTTAAGAATTTTTTTTGCATAAAAATTCAAATGAACGATTCTTGCAGTTAGCCCAGAATTTACATGACGAAGTTAAAAATTTGTAAACATGTTATTGAGATAATGCTATGTACAGAAGATGCCGAAACAGCAAAGATAGGTAAGGAAAGCGCGTTAATTTCAGCTTCAAAGTTAAGCAAAACTCAGTATTAGTTTAAAGTTGGTTGCAAATAAAAACACTTTCTTGAGGGGTAATATGACTAGGGAACTTTTGTGGCAAAAGACCTCGACAAATGTATGGTTTGTTATAACAGAGACTCCGACGGCTGTCTGCTTGAGAGGAGCGTTGCTTTTTGGGAAGACTGCGCTGCGGTTACATTATCTTAAATTCAAATAGGCACCATCTACTGAGTAACACTGAAGGAAAAATCAGAGCCAAGATGGAAAGTAAGAACTGGATTTAAAATATTTATAGAAACTTACAAATTTTGATGCGTGTGGAAGGCCTTTAAGATAGATTATGATTTTTCAACAGCTGAAGAACTTTTACTTATAGATTTAGCAGAAGAATCGAAAGAATACTGAGGGAGCAATTATCATTAATTATGGAAAATTCATTATGTTCTGCTTTACCGGTGTAAATTTCTGCTTTTTAGTGTGAAATTTTGAAGCTGCCTTAGCTAGATCCACATGCTTTAAACACCCGTTAAAAAGATCCGTTAAAAGTTATAAATACACTAAGAATTCAAATATGATAGGGGCTGTTCAAGAATCTTCAGTTATTTTCTTTATTCATAAACCACGAATTTTATGAATAAAGAAAATAACCTGGAAGATAAAATCTATGGAGTATCCGGGATGTTATATAACTATCAGATAAGGGAAAAGGGACGAGAAAAAGATTACTTTGATTGTTTGTAACTGAGTAATATCGTCTATAT